ATAAGGTCAGTCAAGCAGGACCTGCCTTTCACAAACCCATGCTGACTAGGCCTGATTGTCTGGTTGTCCTGTACGTGCCATGTGATGGCACTGAGGATGCTCTGCTCCATAAATTTCCCCGGCACCGAGGTCAGACTGAGAGGCCTGTAGTTCCCCAGATTCTCCTTCCAGCCCTTCTTGTTGGGCGTCACATTTGCTAACCTCCAGTCAACTGGGACCTCCCCGCTTAGCCAGGACTGCTGATAAAGGATTGGAAATGGCTTGGTGAGCACTCCCGCCAGCTCCCTCAGTACCCTTGGGTGAATCCCATCCAGCTCCATAGACTTGTGTGTGTCTAAGTAGTGTAGCAGGTTGCTCACCACTTCTCCTTGGATTATGGGTGCTTCGTTCTGCTCCCCATCCCTGTCTTCCAGCTGGGTACCCAGAGAACAACTGGTTCTACTGGAACTATTGAAGACTGAGGCAAAGAAGGCACTGAGTACCTCAGCCCTGTCCTCGTCCTTTGTCACCACGTTTCCCCCCACATCCAATAAAGGCTGGAGATTCTCCTTAGCCCCCCTTTCATTGTATTTTTATTGTCTTTTACAGCAGTAGCCAGATTAAGTTCTAGTTGGGCTTTGGCCCTTCTAATTTTCTCCCTGCATAACCTCACAACATCCTTGTAGTCCTCCTAAGTGGCCTGCCCCCTCTTCCAAAGATCATAAACTCTCCTTTTTTTCCTGAGTTCCAGCCAAAGCTCTCTGTTCAGCCAGCCTGGTTTTCCCTGCCAGCTCATTTTTCGGCACATGGGGACAGCCTGCTCCTGCGCCTTGAAGATTTCCTTCTTGAAGAATGTCCAGCCTTCCTGGACTCATTTACCCTTCAGAACTGCCTCCCAAGGCACTCTGTCAACCAGGCTCCTAAATAGGCCAAAGTCTGCCCTCTGGAAGTCTGAAGTAGCAGTTCTGCTGACCCCCCCTCCTTACTTCTCCAGAAATCATAAACTCTATCATTTTGTGATCACTATGCCCAAGATGGCCTCCAACCACCACATCACCCACAAGTCCTTCTCTGTTCACAAACAACAGGTCCAGCACGGCACCTTCCCTAGTTGGCTCACTCACCAGCTGTGTCAGGACGTTCTCTTCCACACACTCCAGGAACCTCCTAGACTGTTTCCTCTCTGCTGTATTATATTTCCAGCAGACACCCAGTAAGTTGAAGTCTCCCACAAGAACAAGGGCTAGCGATTGTGGGACTTCTGCCTGCTGCTTATAGAATATTTTGTCTGCCTCTTCACCCTGGTTAGGTGGTCTATAACAGACTCCCACCATGATATCTGCCTTGTTGGCCTTCCCCCCGATTCTTGCCCATAAACACTCAACTCTGTCATCACCATCATTAAGCTCTAGACAATCAAAACACTCCCTAACATACAGGGCTACCTCACCGCTTCTCCTTCCTTGCCTATCCCTTCTGAAGAGTTTATAGCCATCCATTGCAGCACTCCAGTTGTGCGAGTCATCCCACCATGTTTCCGTGATGGCAACCATGTCATAGTTTTCCTGCTGTGCAATGGCTTCCAGCTCCTCCTGTTTGTTGCCCATGCTGCATTCATCAGTGTAGATGCACTTCAGTTGGGCTATTGATCCTGCCACCTTTTTGGGGGGAGAAGCCCTAATTCCTACGTGACCATTTTCAGGTGCTTCCATGGTTTCTAACACAATAACCCTTGTGTCTTTGCTGCCATATGGATCTCCATCCCCTACCTCCACTGAGACAGCAGACCGAAGGACCTTGCTAGCACACTGTCCCTCAAACATTGGCATGCTGCCCCCAGGCTTATCTCTAGCGAGCCTGGTCTTATCCCTTTCCCCCTTCAAATCTAGTTTAAAGCTCATTCAGTGAGCCCTGCTAACTCCTGTGCAAAGATCCTTTCCCCTTTTGAGATAGGTGTACCATGTCTGTTGCCAGCAGACCTGGTGTCATGTAAACTGACCTATGATCAAAAATCCCCAAATTCTGCCAGGGACACTAGGCTCGGAGCCAGGTATTGATCTTCTGGCTCTTCTTCTTCATAGACAGATTTACCCAAAATGATGGATTTCATATTCTCTGAATATCAAGTGGTTCCTCCAATGTTTCTTTGATCCTATCTTACTGGATTTATGGTCCCTTTGTCTTTTATATCTAGGGTTTAGCCTTCATATTCATCCATTTGCCATTTTTCAAATGATTGGTGAAATCAAATGGAATTGGAATTTTGCTTTCCACTTGTCCACTACATCTTTTCTTTCTTTTTTTTTTATATCAGCACTTAATCGCTTCTAATTTGGGAATCATTTCAGATGCATAATGTATTTGCAGGATTTTGACATTCCCCCTTATCCAACAAACTTTTGTTCAAGATGGGATATTAGCTGTGCAGTGGAGACTAGCTTGCAATGCAATTTACAGAAGTCAAAGAAGGCTTCAAAAAAAAACCAACAGGTGTGCTTTGACTATTTTGCATACCATCTTTTTCACAAAATAAGGGATGCAACGGGTTTTTTTGCAAGGTTCTTCCAATAAACAAAAAATTTTCTCACTTCCACCCCATCACTGTGGAGTTCTACAATGTATTAATACCTCCTCTGAATTAAAGGATCTGCCTTTCATTTTCTGGGATCTCTCCACTCAGCAGAAAGATCCTGGCCCTATAAGTCACTTCATGAGAGTAAACTTCTGCATCATCAACACCCTAATGCGTTAGCTGAGATGATCATATAATGATTCGTGGCCTTCCCTCAGAAGTCACAACAGCATATAGGGCAAGTACAGAAATAATGAGGCCACTACAGTTTGGGTGAGTCTGTCAGCATGGCTGCTGATGCATGGAGAGGCTAAACCAGATCCAGGAGCTGATCTCCAAAGTTCAGTGTGCAATGATGGTCCTTCTTGTTAGGACTTCTGTTAGTGTAAAGATGAACGAACTTGCAACTATTTCTAAGCAGCTTTCCTACCCAGGAGAACAGGCTGCAGTAAGGAAGATGTTTGGGACAGACAGGCACTGGCGGGAAAGCCTATTGCTCAAGTACTTCTTCCTTAGCAAAGTTTTCCCATAAAGCACCACAACGTGGCAGCAAGATAAAAATCACAAGGTTTCTCTGTAGAGCTTATGGCAGAATATAGGCTGTGTATGTGTATATAAAAACCTTCTGGTTGTTATTTGAGATCCTTGGAGAGTAGCTTGCTAGTAAGACTGTTTTGCTAAGTACGTAAAAGCATTTTCCTAGATTAAAGAAAGTTTCTGCAGAGTTCCTTGAGACTACAAGAATGTACCACCTTTGTCTGCCTGTCTCGGTCGTGCATTGCCTTTGTTCACAAATTACATAGATTTTCTTCTTTCCTTAGGGCAATATTTCAATCCAGCATTAAA